AGCTGGAGTGTCCCACAAGGAACAAACGAACATAAATTAAAAGTAAATTAAAAGTAGTGATCTTGAAAATGTGAGTAATACCAAATCATTATTTTGAATAACCACGTTTAATAAAAAAAACTCATAAAAAAAAAGAAACCTTTTAATTAATTCATTTTATATCAAAAGTGTGTAGAAGCAGAATTGAGTGTATTGAAAACTGTTAATAAAATAAAAAAGAAAAACTTACAGATTCTGTTGGGTTACTACAAATTGACTTTTTTGTATTAACAGCTTTTTTCTTTCTGAAGGAGAAACCTGAAATATATTTTTTTCAATTAATAATTGCAGAAAAAAGAAAGTTGTTTGTTTTAACCAGAAGTGTGAGCCTTTGCTGCAGGTTTCTTTGGTTTTACAAATAGGATGGGATTGTTTTCTTTTTGTTTATGAGATACAACCTTGGAACTGTTTCCTTTTCTTTTATTCTTTTCAGGAGGCGTATCTGTATTTGAGAAAATCTGCATTTATAATCAATTGATAATATTAAACAATAATTTATAATTATTATTTCAATTACCTAAAAAATCTTCAGGCTTTAAAGTAAACCTCAATTTATGATTTCTACCCTTATCTGTATCAATATTTTCAACTGAAACAAGTGGCTCGTTTTTTATGCTGTTAGCACTATTTACTGGAAACCCTAAAAAACTTTATAAAACAAATCAATGATTAACACAACAAAATAAACCCTTACCAGAGAAAGGTTTTGACTTTTTAACACTATTATTAAATTGACCATTTAGAAAAAGGTTCCTTGATACCTTAAGCTTTCTCGGAGGAGAATCTTCTAAATTTTACATTAAATATTTATGTATACTATTGTTTATAAGCAATGTGATATCCTACTTACCCAGGAAATCTTCTGGCTTTAAAGTTAATCTTAATGACTTTTTCTTTTGTGTAGAGGAACCTGAAAGAATTTTGTATTTAAAGTACTCTAATTTTTGTATCCATGACATAAATCTGGAATTACTTATTTCTGTAACTTCTTTCAAACTGCGATACTAACGTTAAGTTTTATCTAAGAAAGACTACATACCTTGATAGTTTTCACCATCAGTATTTTCAGAATTCTGGAGACGAAACGATGAATAATTTAAATCTAAAATTTAAATTAAACATNCGTATGTGTATACTCAATCAAGGAGGCTAAAGGCTCGACTGGATTACTTAAGAGACCAATTTCAGGTACTTTAATTTTTTTAATTTAATTAAAATCCAAAAATAAAATAAATATTCGCTACACATACTCATTTCTATAACACCAATATTCTATCGTGTGTTTACAAATTATATTAAATCATATATCATATTCATAATCATATTAAACGATATTAACCTTACATGTACTAACCGTTATGTTATTATGAATACTATTGGCTGCCTAGACTAGATTGGCTGCTATTGGATATTATCATGATACTATTATTTGAAAATGGCATCTGTAATAACTATGCTCATTTAGCTTAATTGTATTTTCTCTGGAGATTACTTTTTTGCACGCTATTTTATTTTAAAATACATGGACGTGAATGTTAAAATGAATTTAATTTTTGTTAATGTCTTCATGTTGTGCATTCCTTTTTTTAGACTAAAGCATAAATTACGGTTGAAGGAACTGACCGCTCACCAGCATTAATGATGATTTTGAAATGGAAAACGCACCAGGGGGTGTTTCTACCGAATATTTCCGATTTTTACCGAATTTTTACTAATGCAAATGAAGCGCACAATAGTTCTTTGAGAGTATTTTTTTTTAAACATTGTAACAGGCGAAATGGCTGTTAGTTAGGATGGACTGGACTGATCGTGAGACAAAGTCGGTATGTTCTTAAACATTAATGGTTAGCCATGGTAGCTCCTAGCCCGCACTCGTACTACTTGGACAGTATTTCTTACCTTTTCTAATTTGCAGTACATTTCTCCGCAACTTATAACTTGTCTGTCAACATACCTATAAGCATTATAAATTCTTGAAGTAGTGAAACATATTGGAAGAATAAGACGTCTTTTCTTTTCTTTATTTTGTAAATACTATTTTGTTCTATATTATTTCATTATTTTGTTAGGGGAGGATGTCAAGAATGAGATTAGATAACAAAATAAATATACTTCCCGGCTCTTTGATTACTAGTAGCGCCATCTAGTATGTTCCAAGTACAATTAATAATTTACAAAAAAATACTAGTTAAGATGTTGTCATGCCACCATTGGTTTTTATTGGACTGTATGAACACGCATATGTACATCGCGGGCGTGTTTTTGAGAAAAGCTTTTCTGACACACTTGACACTCATACTGTTTTTCCTTGCTATGTATGCGAATGTGACAGGACAGCTTTGATTTTGTGACGAAACGTTTGCTGCAAATCGGACATTCAAATGGACGTTCGCCCGTATGCAACATCTGATGATGCATACAGCTAGCTCTGAAAATTATAAATTAATTTAATAACAATAAATAATATGTTAATCTTTTGGCAATATTACAGTTAGTATTGTAGATTGGCACGTGGTAAAACATTTTTATAAACAAAAAGTGGAATAAAAAAACTCTTCTATTTATCAAATGGTATTGTAATGGAAACAATTGTCAGAGATGAAACAGAAATTGTGAAACTCGTTTAGTGTTTTCTTCATTCAATTTTTTTATCCACTGTTGGTAGAAAATATGTATAGATGGCGGTAAACGGACAATTACTTAATATAACTTATATGGAACAGTTTTAAAAAACCTATCATTTGGATGTTTATACCTAATAGATAGAAGTCTTATTTGTAGGTTACTCCATGCTATTTGTCTTTACTTACTTGTGATTAAATCTCCGTCCACAGGTTTCACACTTGAATGGCTTTTCTCCTGTGTGAATGCGAGTATGTCGATCGAAATCTCGTTTATCGGAAAATCTTTTCAAACACACTGTGCACTCATATACCTTTTCTCCAGTATGGAGGCGAACGTGGCAGGCCAGCTTAGATTTTGTCACGAAGCGTTTGCTGCAAATCCGACATTCAAATGGACGTTCACCCGTATGCAACATCTGATGATGCATCAAACTGGCTCTGAAAATTATAAATTAATTTAAAAGAAAAAACTAGTCAAAAGAATATTAATCCCTTTCTACAATATTACATAATAAAATAAGTTACACAATATCAGAGTATAAAAAGATGAGAGCAAATAAAATAAAAATAATAATATTTCTTCTTGAATTAGGGGAAATAAGACAAAATTAACATAAATCTAACGTTTTGACTACTGTTGTGACTGAAGTTGTGAAATCTCATACATCATTTAGTTAAACAAAAAATATGTACAATCTATGACAGATTCACTAAATTACCGAAATAGTTTATTGACTAACTATTCGCCTTATTAGAACATATTATTACCCAATGGTATTTATCACTACTTACTTTTCATTAAACCTCCGCTCACAGGTATCACACTTGAAGGGTTTTTCACCGGTGTGAATGCGCCTATGTCGATCGAAATTTTGTTTATTGGAAAACTTTTTCTGACACACTTGACACTCGTACGGTTTTTCCCCAGTATGGATGCGAATGTGACTACTGAAGTGCGATTTTTTGGAAAAACGTTTACTGCAAATTGGACACTCAAACGGTCGTTCGCCTGTATGCACCATCTGATGATGCATCAAACTAGCTCTAAAAATTATAAATTAATTTAATAACAAGAAATAATATTTAAATGCATAAGGATGAATCGAAAAAATGTACAGGCATTTAACACCGCTGATTATATGTTTCTTTATTTCATAAGATATATGCTTTTAATGTCCCGGAGTATTAATATCATGACTGGAGTCTTACTTTCGTCTAGGTTGTTCAATTCAATAATCATTACCCCAGTTATTTTGATTACAGCTGGAGTGTCCCACAAGGCTCGCATTGGAGCCCACTCACATTCTCATTTTTATAAACGATGTCCAATATTAGTAAAGTTAAAATATCACTGATGATGTAAAAATTTTTTACACAGTATTAAGTATTTCTGATTTTATTGTATTGCAGGCTGATATTTAATTCATCGGTCCCTTGGTCAAATGAGAACAGATTTTGTTTTCTTAATGATTAGCAGTTAACATTAAGTACACTATTGGGTACTCAGTCCTTAATAGGTATTATCATTATAGAGACTTGGGTGTAACATTTACGGTCAATTGAAACTTCTATGACCAAGCTGCAACCGAATTTCGCACTGTGTCTATTTGAGTTTTTCCTATTTTAACAGTATGTATATTACAAATCAATTTTACCATTCATTAGTGTTCATTCACCCTACGTAAATGGAATAATCTTGTTGGACGGTCACCCAATGGTACTTAATATTTGTCATTACTTACTTGTGAGTAAATTTTTGTCCACAGGTTTCACAGTTGAACGGCTTTTCTCCAGTATGAATACGCACATGTCGATCGAAATTTTCTTTATTGGTAAATCTTTTCTGACACACTTGACACTCGTACGGTTTTTCCCCAGTATGGATCCGAATATGACAAGCCAGCTTTGATTTTGAGATGAAATGTTTGCCACAGCTTTCACATTTGAATGGTCTTTCTTTCCTTTGCGTTACTGAACATTTTCTCACTAAAACATGAGTAACTTCAGTAAAAGTTTTATTATATTTGTATGGCTGTTGTCTTATATGAAATGAAATATTGCTTAAAGTTCAACTTCACTTCGACAAATATTACCTTCTAATTCCTTTGTTATAATGGTTTCATCTTTAGTATGATTTAAATTTAAATGCTCATTCTTCTTATTATCATCCTTACCAGAATAATGCCAAGTTTCATCACTAAGCTCAGTGCTATCTTCACCTTCTTTTATAATAGTTTCTACTTTTATAAATTCTAAATTTACAAATTCATTTTCTCTATTGTCTTCTTCATCAGGATAAGTTTCGACAATAACTTCAGTGTCACCATCAGATGTACTACCTTCTATTTCTTCTTTTATAATGACTTCTTCTTTAATATCTACACTAAAAGGCTCATTTTTTCTATTATCTTTTATATTAGAAAGACGGCATATTCCGTCAATAAGTTCGATTCCTTTATTATCTTCTATATCATTTTTTGAAATGGTTTTTTCTCTTATATCATTTAAATTTAAATCCTCACTTTTTTTATCTTCCTTATCAGAAAAACACAATGTATTATAATTACCTTGTAATAATTCACTTTTCATTACTNGTTTAGTCAGGTAGGTAGTACTCACCAAGTGAAGTAGTGTAGTAGTATTTACTAGAATTTTGTTTATTATTTGTTTAAAAATGAATGTGAGTGAGATACAGGCCCTTAAAGTTTTCATATGAGTACAGGTTAAAAAATGGGAAGCCATTTACTGTAAATGGGGAAGATCTCGATCTTATACTCGATAAAAATATTGAAGATTAGATGCGATTGCAGTTTCGGACTAGGACTAATCACAATTATTGTGAATAATAATAACAGTAATATTTTTGTTATTTAGATTACCATACTCTTTTATATTAATTTTAAATATGTTTTCATGTCACTTTTCATATTCTGCTTTATTGTTTTTATAATGTGAGATCATCATATCATAAGTATTTTTTACTACCACCATCTAGAGAAGAGTTAAAAAAACATCTAATTTATGCATACGATTTCATTGTCATTCTGTGATAGTTACACATTGTTGATAGCATTTCAACCACTAGAAAGTAGATGGCAGCTTTTCACCTCTACAAGTGGAGTCTACTATATCTGACTATACCGACCTATTGAATTTATTTTAATAAAAGAACGCTAAACGGCTAAACGCTTTCACTAGGGGCAAGGCGATACTCTAAAAAATCTAAATGTATTAGACAAATTAGGTCTACACTAAGCATGACCAAATCTACCAAAAAATATTATTGTTTTGCCAAACTATATACCAATTTTATTATATACACAACCCTTGTTGGTTATTAACAAGATTCAAATTGAATGAATAAATTTATTTAAAAAACGCAGTTTCGCATCTTAGACAAGTACATTAGACGTATTTCAAGTTCATTCTAGATAGATTATCAAATTTATGATTTACACCACCCTTTGTGATTAGTGGATAAATCAGGAAAAAGATGTGTATGTAAAATAAAATCAAATTATTTAAGTACGTATGTATAGGGTGTCTTAAAACTTTGTGGACATAGAGCAACCACAAGTCCTTGGAATTAAAATAAAACGATTAAACTGAACTTTATCTTACCAAAAAATTTTAGTTTTTCTTCAACTACTCAAAAACGCTTCTTACAATTTCAATAAAACATTTACATTAGATACAACTGTTCGCAACTTTTTTGGAGGGTTTAACAAGTAAATAATTTTTTTTTTGTAAGGTGCACACTAGCTTTATTTTTTTTTTAATAAAAAATCAAATTTGCAACAATTTCAGAGAAAAAAGTCCTCTATCTATGATTCCCAACAATTTTTTTAAAGTAGGTACAATTATAATTGAAATAACTCGAAGACGACTAGTGCGATTTGAATTAAATATTATACATAAACATTCCCATGGAGGTATTAATTTTTAACATGCTTATCAATTTTACTAAAATACGACAAAGGCAAAAACTACGCCTACCCTTAAACAAATTCGTTAGTAACTTATTTTTAGTGTTGATTAATTACTCTAATAAGTTTTTTTTTGAAAAGGTACTTTTCTTGATTAGATTGTTTGTATTTTATTATAAAGCCGTATCTCCAACAGTTTGGATAAAAAATATGTTTCATCCGCCTGTGTTTTATAATATTCAACTTTTTGTTTGATTATGAAATTTCAAAATTAGTTGTCTAGTAATCAAATCAAACAAAGTATTTCTTTACCAAATATCAGGAAAAAAATGAATGAACGAATAGTGATATTTGTAGACTTTTAGGACTAAACACGTTGTAATGGTTAAGTCTTCATTGCTGCACAGCTCCGGGTACTTACTAAAACAACAGTTGTAACATATTTTTAATTTTGTAATGGGAATCATATCATCGACATATTAAAGAAAAACATGATCTAGAAACGTATTTCTTTGAAAACTGTATTTGATATTTGTGCATATTTAGCTTATTCGCGGTTTTCTGTTTAATACTTTTCACTATTTTCTGTTGAAGTATTTAAATCACTCACGATCCTATCCTCTTTTTACAAGTGCTCCATGGAATGTTTTCTACAAATTACATGAAGCAATCGCATAACAGGCGATTTTTTTTAATAACTTGTAACATAACATTCTAACGCCTAATAAATTCGATAGACATTTGTAGACGATATCATTCAATTTAGGTAGCACGTGAACTGAGCAGAATATGAAATTATTTAACAAACAGTGCAGTATAAGCATGTATAACATGAGTTTACAATACTACAAATACTATCAGTATAAATAAGTAGTAATCATATTAGTGACATTCTAAAATACTTATAATCCGAATTATCATGTTCCTACATAGCATCTACATTTTAAATTTTTACGATTTTTTCTCCTTATGAAGGAACATATGATCATTAAGGTGATGCTTTTGGGAAAACCTTTTCTGACAGATACTACACTCGTACGGTTTTTCCCCGGTATGTGTGCGAACGTGACTGGTCAATTTTCTCGTGAAACGTTTGCCGCAAATCGGACATTCGAATGGACGTTCACCCTTATGCGACATTTGATGACGCACCAAATCGCTTCTAAATATAAAATAAAATATTTAAAAGCATATTATAAAAAAATGCGTATTTGAAGCACAACTTGAAGTAGTTTTCATTTGCATTTTTTAAATCTCTATCTATTTATTATAATTTATGGTGGCAGCGTAAGTCTGATGTTCACATGTGAATAACAGTTTATAATCTCATATTTAAACTACTTTTAGAATAATGATTATCGTTTAAAGGTCTTACGTTTTAGATATTTATAACAATTTTATTAATCGATTTCCCATCGGTATTTATTGTTACTTACTTTCGGGTAAATCTCTGTTCACAAGTTTCACACTTGAATGGCTTTTCTCCTATATGAACTACCATATGTGCATTGAGACCGTATTTTTTGGAAAACCTTTTCTGACAAACTAGACACTCGTACGGTTTTTCGTCGGTATGAATGCGAACGTGTCTGGTAAAGGATCCTTTTTCGACGAAGTGTTTGCCACAGGTATCGCATTCGAATGACTTTTCTTCCGTATGGACTACCATATGTACATCGAGATCGTATTTTTTGGAAAACTTTTTCAGACACACTTCGCACTTGTATAGTTTTTCCCCGTCATGGACGCGAATATGGTAGGCCAGCTTCGATTTTGTGACAAAACGTGTGCTGCAAATTCGACATTCAAATGGACGTTCGCCCGTATGTAACATCTGATGATACATCAAGCTAGAACTGAAAATTTTTTAAGTTAAAAGAATAACAGTAAAAATAAGGAAGTTGTTTCTAATAAATTGGTTAAACAATCGAAATAATAGGGAATATAGTAACTCTGTATGTTAGGAAAGAATTTTAAAATTAAGTGAGGGACTGCAGAAGTTATCCAGAGGTAGATGTAATAGATAGCCATCATAATTTATTGTTAGTGGTTGTAAAGGCTAATCTTAAATTTAAAATCATTAAAAAGAGGTTGCCAAGAGTGTTTTGGGCTACAATTTTTTTTTATATTTTTATAACAAAAGCTATCTAACAGAAAGAATATCACATATGCAATTTTACATACATCAATGTAAACCACCAATGGATAGTGACCATATGAATTTAAATCCTGTCCCTTTTTATTTAAAGTAGCCAAAAGGGATTGAAATACTAACCAGTAAAATACAAGCCATACTGTAATAGTCTTGTTGGTCCATTACACAATGGTTTTTACCATTACTTACTTCTCACTAAATCTTCGTCCACATTTTTCACATTCGAATGGCTTTTCACCCATATGAATGCGCACATGTCTAATGAAATTTGGTTTATTTGCAAACCTTTTCTGGCACACTTGACACTCATATGGTTTTTCCCCAGTATGGATGCGAATGTGACAGACTAACTTCGATTTGGAGAAGAAACGTTTCCCACAGGTTTCGCATTTTAATTGTTTTTCTTCCTCTTCTGTCACTGAATGCTTTCTCGCTAAAATATTCGTTAAGATTTTTAATATATTTATAGCTATTCTCTTGTATGAATTCTAACATGATGGGAGTAGTTAGCCATAAAAGTTGAAAAAATCCAACTTGTGGTAAAATTGCTTAAATTAGACTTGATTTTAACTGCAAGAATATTACCTTCTATTTCCTTTTTTATAATGGTTTCTTCTTTAGTGTGATTTAAATTTAAACGATCTTTTTTTCTATTATCATCCGTATTAGGATAACGGCATGTTCCATCGGTACAGTCAATTTCACCTTTAAAAATGTTATTACCTTCTAGTTCCTCTTTAATAACAGTTTCTTCTTCTTTTATAATTACTTCTTCTTTTATATCTAAATTTAAACGCTCATTGTTGTTTCTACTACTTTCCATGTCAGAAAAACGCAACGTATTGTAATTATTTCATAATAATTCACTTTTCATTACTGAACAGTTTATTTTTATTTATAAAAACTAAATTTATTGCTTATTTTCATTTTTACCATCATAGATATAGTTTACCCTTTGTATATATATTATCTATGATATAGTTCAATAGTTATCATTAATCATTAATAATAAGCACCCAAACGTCATTTTTTTGAAGTCGATTAATCTGCATGTAATTTGTAATAATAAGAATGAATACATAGATTAAATGAATCTATTACCATAGATAATTTGTTGAAACCATTGAAATATGGCCACATAGATAATCTTCGCCAGGAGAGTTTAACCGTTAAAATTTGAAAGTTTGAAAGTAAAAGCAAAGGAATTGCTTGGTTATAACTTACATTCTGTACGGGTTGCGACGTATTCAGTTATATGTTTTACAAAGTTAATAATGAAATTAAGTTTTGATGTATAAGACTATTTAAATAGGTACTGTGCGAACATATTATTAAAAATAGGCAAGATGAACGAAAATGAAGTGTAAGTTGTAATTTTTTAGAATAAGTGTGTATAATATATATTGGAACCATAATAATTCTGTAGGGTATTACTGCCTTGGGTAAACGAATTTGTTGATAGAATGAAAGATCGAGTTGAGAAAGGAATTCTTACTTGGTGTAACATTGTAACAGCTATTGGACTAAAAGAAAATGATTTGAATGGCTGGATCACAACTTATCAGGATCAAATTGATACATTGTTGGAAGATATGAATAAAGATGCTTTAAATAATCAACAAAATCTTATTAGGCAAATAGAAAGTCTTTTGATACAATCAGAAGCTTTATGCAAAGAGCTTCATATACAAAAGCCAAATATCGGCACACAAAAATTATGTTTAATTGACAAGCAAAATCTGCTTGTGAAAAACATTGAAGAGTATGTGATTTGCATTTGTTTATGCTTATAACTGTAATACAAATTGAGTTTTTCAGATACCAATTAAAAATTCAAGAGCGTCATAAAGAATTAAATATACTGGAGAAGAAAATGAAACAGGTTTGTCAAAATCTTGGACGCAGGCCAAAGAGTATTTTGGTTTCTCCTCTTCCTTCTGAAGAGCAAGTATTACAATACAAAGCTGACATTGCTCTGCTTGAGGAAGAGGAATATGGGAGGCTTGAGAAGTTTACTGAATTAAAGACAGAAATAATGACTTTGGCAAATGATCTTAAATACAAACCTGTATTAGACTTTGAAAGGAAAGTTTTATGTGAAGAAGACTCTGTTTTTGAAGTGACTGACAGTAATATGAGAGAACTACAGAAGTTCTATGAATGTTTAAAAGAGCAATCACAGAATATTAAATCTGAGATTAACTTGTTTTATGAACGTGTGAAAGTGTTGTGGGAAGTTTTAGAAGAAGACAAACAGAAATGTACCGAATTTATACAAAAATATTCCAGCCACACTTTAGAAGACTTGCAAGCATTTAAAGATGAAGTGCAACGGTGTGAACATTTAAAAAGGTCTAATATAGAGGTAAGATACATAATTAGAAATTGCTGAATTTTTCTTAACTAATGTTTTATAACTAGTAAATATACTTATTTATGCTACAAATTAATGTTAAGAATAACAAATTTACAATTATTTTCAATTAAAAAAATTGTATATTTCATTTTATTGGAATGTTTTTTTTTTATAAAAGGTGTTCGTAAAAAAATTACGTCAGGAATTACTTTTCTACTGGGATTTGTGTTTAGTAAGTGAAAGAGAAAGGAAACAGTTCTTATATTTCGATGAAGATTTATTTACAGAAGATTTGATAAGTTTACATGATATAGAGGTGGAGAAATGGAAAAAATTCTATGCAGAAAATGAGTAATATAACTCAATTATACAAAATCTGTGTAAATTGATTTTTTCTATATTTTCAGTGCAATTTTTAAATTGTTGTCAAAATGGGACCAACTTTATAAGAGGCTGCAAGAATTGGGAAATGCTGCCGTTGCTCCTGATCGTTATAAAAACCGTGGTGGTGTTTTATTGAAGGAGGAAAAGGAACGAAATGTGTTAAATAAACAAATTCCAAAATTGGAAGAGCAATTGAAAGAGTTATCATATGAGTACAGGTTAAAAAATGGGAAGCCATTTACTGTAAATGGGGAAGATCTCGATCTTATACTCGATAAAAATATTGAAGATCGTGAAAATGTAAGTAACATCCTTCCATCCGTGTCATAGATAATTAAAAGGAACATTTTGCACATACTATTTCATAAACAATTTATGAAATAAAATAATATATAAAAAGAATTATCAAACACAAAAAATGTTATTTAGGAAAGAAAATTAAAATGCAGTGCTCGAAAGCAGCGTTTTCAAGATAAAAGTTTGACGCCGGGCCGATCGCTCTTTCCGTTGACTCCTTTGAGTCAGTTTAGCTCGATTAGAAGTACATGTAAACGGAGAATCATGACGCCTTCTATTTCCACTACGAAAAGGTCTAAACAACTGTTACAAGCTGGTAAAAGTATCTCAATTTATATTTTAAATCAATTTTTACTGAAAAAATATTTCACATAGGATTAAAAACAGCACCTCCGAACTACCCTTGCTTAAAAGTAATTGGAGGAAGATCTCGTTATTCTTCTGATAAGAAAAAGAAGAGCAGAAGACGATCGAAACGAAACAAATTGTCACCTAAAACTATGAATACAACATACGACAAATTTGAGGTAAATTGGTAATCTTATTTCATGTTAATTTTTGACTTAGAAAATACTCTTACAAGATTTTTTACTTGTTTTTATCTGATCACGTATGTATATAGGGTGTTTTGTTCGTTAAGCAATCATAAACATCATAAGTAACGTAAATAAAACACTTTTGGAAGTTTCACTTAAATTATTTGTTTTGAGAAAGGATGAGGATTAATAACGTAAAAAAATTTATCTGAAAATCACTTCCACCAAAAGTGCAATATTTTTTTACATGTATTTTAAATATAATTGGTCTTCTATTTTTTCTATGAGTTTATTTTTAAGTTTTTAAATTTAATTATCCAAATTTTTAATTATTGTTCAAAAGAAATCCTTTATATTAATATAGTTTTTTGTTAAAATATATGTATTATACATTTAGTTTTTGCAAAAGAAAATCAGATACGAAAAATTTTTATTTCCTTATTAGGACAGAAAAAAAAATTGATTCTAATTTATGTAATTTTAGGAGGAAGTGTCTAATAAAGGGAAATGTCGCAGCACCGACGTATTTAATGGTGATCTGTCTCCCTTAGCGATACCTTTACCTCAAACTCCCACAAACAGATTGAGGATATAAACTAGTAAGAAGTGCTAATGTTATTTATTTTTTTATTGATTTTATATTTAAATTTAAACGCACAGACTTATGTTCTTCCTCTTTTTTGTACAATTTTTATACAAAGAAAAAATAAATAGTTAAAAAGTAATTTGGAATATATATATATATATTAAAAATATAACACGCAGACAAATAGTTTTCGATATTATGTCTATATAAATTGATTCCTAACATACTATACACATATACAGAGATATATTACAAATACCTTTCACTACTATTTATTGTGCGTTTTTAAAAATAAATATTGCGTCGTTTAGCCAGTAATAAGACTGTCTTAGGTCTCCCTCACAAAGATAAGGAACTTTTGACCATGTTAAAAGTATAAAACCTAATGGTTTAAAAACGTCATTTATTATGCACTCCACCTGCTCTTCAAACGTACTCCCCCTGATTGGAAGTTTTTCTGAAGGTGTGTGGTCTAATGAACCTAACAAAAAAGGTCAATGCTAGGTAAATATAGTAACTTTGCTCCAAGTTGTATTGAGTTTCACATTTTTTCTGTTAGGCGCTCTTCTAATTCGTGAATACTTTCAATATTGTGCTTACTATGGAAATAGTTTACTGGTTTAAAGAAATTGAAATTTTAGATTTTGTCTTTCAAAAATTATGCGACCTTTGTGTAAAGGAATTTACTTGGGGGGGGGGGGCGGTTGAAGGGTTGTGGATTTTTTGGTAATTCTTTGAAATCAGTTTTTTCACTATAAAAATAATAAATCGAAAATGACTTATTTTCAATCTTGGTTTTTTGATTTGATTATAAAACTTGAATCAATGCAACAACAAAAACTAAAATACTCAATATTAACATCTTGATCTTAAATACTATTCAATTTGATTTTGCTTTTTACACAATTATGTTTTTACATCAGAGCTCAACACTAGATGTAATTATTAAGTACTGCAAGGGTAAGATACACTAAAAAATTCGATGAAGCCTGGGGGAAAGTCACTATATTTAATATTTGAGTTTTCCATTTAATGATTTTTACCTGTTTCTACATATGATGAAAATGGTAATACAAGGGCCACTATTAGTCTTCCATTAGGTGTCAATGTATCTTTTATGTCTTTTAATAGTGTTAGTGGTTTATCACAGCGATCTAATAGATTAAGACATGATATTACATTGAATTTGTTATTTCTCTGCCAGTCTTCGATTCCTAATACTCTTAAATGGAAATTATTAATCAAAAATATAAACGAGAAATGAGGAATGTCCTACTTGAATTTACGTTTTTGAAGATGTTTTCTCATTACATGTGATACTTCTGTTACAAAAACTTGTTCGAATGCAGGAGCTAAATTTGCAGTTACTTTCCCATCACCTGCACCTAAATCAAGTAACGAATTTGAGTCCCAATCTCCATCACATGACATTAGTGATAAAAATTGTAGGTGAGATAAGACAAACATTGATCCCCTTTCCAACCACCTAATGGTAAAAAGTATTTTTAATTTTGAATTTTAAAAACGTTAATGATAAGAATAAAACCACCAATTAAAAGCAACACTTGTAATCACCCATTTACTGATGTTTGTGTCATGAACCATCCTAAAAGAACTTTTGCTATACTATGCCACAACTGTGTGAAAATCCAGTCTGATTTTTCTTCAGATTGTTTTAGAAAACACGATGTTTCTTCATCAACATTTAGCTGGACAAAATGAGATGTTATTTCAGAAGAAAGTTTTGTTAAGTTACATTTATACCACTAGAACAATACAAAATTACAAAGTTTATAAAAATCTTATTAATATTAAGTAATAAAAACAACAATTAATATAAAAACGAACCTGAGACTTATCAAAGTGAGTAAGGTAATCATCAATTTTTTGTTTCTCATAGAGAGCTCGAGCTAGGGAACTTCTCGGTTTTAAGTAAGTAGTCATTTCTAATTTTTTAACATCTAAGATTGGTAATTCTTTACATTAGTTGACATTGGAATTGAGACATGAAGTTTAGTCAGGTAGGTAGTACTCACCAAGTGAAGTAGTGTAGTAGTATTTACTAGAATTTTGTTTATTATTTGTTTAAAAATGAATGTGAGTGAGATACAGGCCCTTAAAGTTTTCTTAATCGGAGGAAATACCGGTAGGTACGGCCCTGGCTTCAGCCTTCCGTCAGCTGTTCCCGCCAAACATCGTTTGTCCTAAAACATATCTTCCTAACATTATTCTAATGTATCAGCCCGCCTTCGGCGGGCAGGGGCATTAAACAAACTCGAGTCTGTCATACATCTACCTAACTAAACAATGACGTCATCAATGCATATTTGGCGAGAACAGCTGACGAAGGGCAGCAGCCAGGGCCGTACCAATCGAAATTTCCTTCCGATTAAATAACTTTAGGAGCCTGTATCTCAAGCTACATTGGTTTCCGCACGGAATTAATGCTACCACACGATTCTACTTGGTCAGTACTACCTACCTGACTAAACTTCATGTCTCAATTCCAATGTCAACTAATGTAAAGAATTACCCTAAGATTTTTTATAATTATATAATTTGTAACATATCTGCTTCAAAAACGATTTGATTTTTAAAACAATAATAAAACTGACCAATAAACCAAGGTTATATTTAATTTCTTGACCATAGATAATTTATTGACCATAAACATAGATATTTATATTTATGGCCATAGATAATAGATACACAAAGGTTTATGGCAAAGAACTATAGCCATAGAAAAGAGATATGCAGTATAAGTATTATTATACATCTCCTATCTATGAACTGTGGCAAATAAGCATTTGGAAGTATTTTGAAAGTAACAAACCCAACTAACAAAAATCTTATGTCACCTGATCACCATATAGACACTATTATAAGATACATGATATGATAGTATAAAGGTACGCCCTCCTAAACATAATTATTTTATCTAATTCATAAAGAATATAAAATAATTTTTAAACTGCAAATAATGAAAAAAGAGTAAAAAGCAGCAATTATTATTAAAGTTATAATAATATTTGTTTGTTAGGCTCGTTTGGCTGAATAAACGAAGACTTCTACATCGAATGCAGCGACGTTTACTAATGAACATGCCTTAGCGGTTAGAATTGTGGTACAATAAAAGTAAGAGATGAAACGAAGTTTCCGACAATATCCATCTCTCTCACGATAGTGCGTAAGCGTGTCATGAAAGAGATAGGGTAGTCCGAAACCATACGCCATCTCCCTCACTTTTCGAGCCAAGAAATTATTACAATGACAAATGACATACGGCTAAGGCACGTCCATTAATATATGTCTATGATCGAATGTATCGTATCTATGAAATGTACCTAATATATCAATATGTCCAATAAACTTTCGACCTACTATATATTCTATGTATATATTTTTTACCTATGATATGGCCTTTATGTTATATGGCTATTATCTATGAATCTATACATTGCTTAAACCGAAAGCAAAAAAGACCGGTTATTGAAGCTGTTTGATTTTGAGGTTAGTTAATGGGTTAATACGACTTTTTGTTTATCAAAACTTAAATTTTACATTTAACAGATCCTGTTTTAATTTTAAATAAGTGTTGTGTTTTTGTAATTTGAATTTTTAATTTAAGTTCAAATCTCCACTAATGGAAGGTAAAGTAACTTCAATATTACATAGTATAAAATTTAAATGTACTTTTCATAGACAATAAAACCGAAGATTTATGGAATCCCTACAAGGAGTTGCTTAAAGTAATTAACAGATATGTTTGCGATGGAGCATCTAGTTTACCTTCATCAGAATTTGAGAATGTTTTACGTCGACATAAACAGAACTTTCTTTCTCTTTTACAAAATCCTGTAAGTAATAAGTACCTTATGCAAAAATCTAGATCTCATTTTAATACCAAAAGTTTCTCACTTTTTAAATGTAATTTCATGAAATTTTTATGTGGTGCAAATAGAAATTTAATTGATATGTAACTGAAATTACTGAGATATTTGAGTTATCCTCTACTACAACATACTCCTCTGGAATAATTATTATACCAATGTATTATAAATCACCTTATACGTACTACTGAAATTTTTATTTTTGTAAAATTGTTATTTTTGCTACCAGTAAGTACTTTTTATATAATTAAAAAAAGGATTTATACCCGTTAATTATTATTAAATAAAAAAAAAAAATACCTGAAACATAACTCTACCGGGGAATAGAAAGTGGGTCTAATTTCTATATGCTATTAACCTGAAATAACTAGTTTTTGGAATAGGGTTGACACCTTAGGTTTTTAAAGGTATTCTTTAAATTTTAGGAATTGTTGTTTTAATTAAACAAAAAACTTAGTAAATGAATAAGCTATTTCTGTATTTGACTCATTATAACTTAATACAAACATTAAAATTTATATGCTATAGCCGAAGAGTCCAAAAAGTAGAGAAGAGCTCAAGAAGGGTATGGTAGAAGGAATTACAGTACGTGGAATTGGGCATCAGATTCTTTCAAAAGAACTTTATCAAGAAGCTATAATTTTATCAGACATGTACGATTTAAACGAATTTGTAGCACTAGATCTCCTCTGCACTGCACAAATACAGATGACATACTATCCAGGTCTTCCAAGAGGCTTAGTAGCCATTCTACTCTATTATGATGGACGGAAATGCCTTGTATCTGCCCTAAGAATATTAGTTCAAGCTAGAAAAGGAATACAATGGACTGTCAGCATGAAACCTGATGTCCAAACCTTCATAACAAATTACACAGACCAGCTGTTGGAAAGTGGTTTATTTGACAGAATTTTCGAACTTATAAGAACGCTAGATTGGAGCAAAGAATTGGAAAAGTTGCAGCATAATCTTGCTCTTGGAGGTCCGAAACATAGACGGATGGTAGTTGATTTATTCAACACTATTCGACACATCCTGGCAGATATTGTATTTATTTGGGCTGCTCAAACTGGGTTGCCTACTAATGTAATGTCTAAACTTATTGGATTGTTACAAGAACAGAAAAATGAAGATGATGCAAGTGGAAAAATAGACAGTGTAACGTTTTTATTACAAATGGGATTTTTGGCTGCAATTGATCTCAGTGCTTTGCACATCAGAGAAAATGGAGAACAGTTCGTTCGTTCTCTGCCCGTACTGTCAGATAAAAGTTTCCTAGAAATGATGATAACGGATCTGACGCCTAGCAAAAGAACTTGGGCATGCCAAGGTTTGCAAGCTCTTTCTATGTACGGGTTTTCGGTTACTTTAGCCTTATTACGTCTTTTACCTCAGTGCCAAGATTATCATTTTGCGATAGAATACGAGAATAATTTTATCGATGCTGCAATGGATTTAAAAGTTTTTGAATTCTTAAACTACATTTTTTTAGAGAATGATTTGCTATACGAAGAAGAATTTTTATTGAAGCGAATGCACAATTTAATTACTGATTTTATTGTTCTTATGTATTCAAAAGTCAAAGAAATGAGAATAAAAGCAGATGAAACTGCCAGAACCGTCCAAGTTTACTTTAACGAGGGTCTAGAAGCTCCTGTTAATTTGCCTCGTCATTTCGAACATTTACTACTGTCTATTTCAAAGCTCTACAGCAAAGATCCCCTCAAATTGGAATTGATGATTGATTATTGGTGTCCATTAGAAATAAATCCAAATTTGTCGTATTCTTACCGTGCTCCACCTAGATCTGTTTCACTTTTCAAGTTTCTGCGTTTAGCAGGTGATATGGTGCCGGCAAATCTTTTCGTGCCATATTTAAAAATGTTAAAAAGTCTGTCTAACTGCCAACAAGCTGCCAGACATTGTTTTAACATGTTAAAACAATCAGGACAAGGTTACAATAATACAATTTCTTGGGACCACTTCTTTATATCTTTTAATCAGTATTATGGAAGTTTAAAACAAGAAGCTCCTCCTATTAACGATACTGTGTACAGATCGCGTATGTATCACAAAGGGATCACACCTCAAGAAGTTCAAGGGTTACATGCTGTCCTTGAACTAATACGTACTGTTGCTGAAAAGGACGAGTTTTCAAGATTAGCTCTTTGCGAACATCCAGGATGGGCTCCTTTGACTATTCTTTTGGGATTGGTGGCTTGTTCTGTACCTTTATCTTTAAAAGCAAACTTATTGTATGCTTTGGCTGCACTTTGTAAGTCTCATGACATCGCTTCTCAAATGTGGAATAACTTGGAGGACTCTCAGATTTTGGTAACGATTCCATCAACTTCTAGTTACCAACCGCGAGGTATTCAAACAGAATTAGAAGAAGTCGAAGCACGAAATGAAGAATATCCTCTTACTCGAGCATTTCTCGAATTTTTGGATATCCTTGTTGACTCGGGAATACCACGTACATTGGGTGCAGGTCCGAGAAAACCAGGATTTGACCCTTACCTTACTTTTATCATAAATTCCGTTTTTTTAAAGTTTCATAATCGTGCATATAAAGATGAAAGTGAGAAATGGATGGTTGCAGCCGTGTGTTTGAAGTTGTTAGAAAAATTTCTTAAACATTATGAACCTCAACATTCTGATTTTCCGAACACTACAAAGCAAAATGAATTTAATTCACCGCCTGGATTTCATATAATGTTACAAATGAATAGTAAAACTGAATTTTTAAACTTAATACTGTTCATTATTGATGAAGGAAGTTTGCTTTTGGAGCAATACACTCCATTTCCAGGGAAGGAATTCCTTGCAAAAGCGATACTCAGTTGTCTGAATATAATAGAACGTTCACTAGTTTTACAACATCAGTTTGTAAATATGGTTTTGTCATCATCTTGTCCTGTATTACTTTCTCATCTGAATAAACTTCTACTCACAATTAATCCTCGTACAGGAAAACCAGACTACTGCAATACTTTCGTGAAGTACATTAATTTGGTGGGTTCTTTCCCTAATCACACACTTGCAAGTGCAAAAATTTTACTTAATCTTACTTCATCACCTCTTGTGCATTCTCATCTCACTAATATATTTTTATCAACTGAAAATCACGAATTTATCAGAGATGCATTTGTAGAATGCTTAGATGCTTCTTGCGAGTCTAAAGAGGATGAACCAATTTGCAACAGTAAAGAATATGTTTTAAAAATATTAAAACAATGTTTACCATATAGCTCCCCAAATCTTACTCACTTTTTACTCGGTTTCGACTTGAAGCGAGATATTTCTCAGACCTTATTTCAATTACCAGGTGTATTAGATTTCCCTAGAACATGCATTCACTCTTTATTCAGTATCTTACATTCAGCCATATCAAATGACTTTACAATTGCGCTAAAACCAACTCTGCTAGAATCTGCTTATCATTTGTTGTATTTGCTTTGCTCGAATTATAAGACTTATAATCCTGTTTTACGATTTTTGAGACTGAACCAGAAATTTTTCAAGCAGCATTTAATAATTTGCGCTGAGCGAGCTAACGATGGCTTAACACAACTCAATCAACTTTCTTGGCTTCTTAAAACTCTTGCCGTTGAGATAAAATTAACATGTTGTAGCAAGCAAGTGTTTTATTTAAAGGAATTACTTAACTTATTGTTAGGAATATCTGAAGATGATGATTTATTTCATGATTCGTATAGTATAGTTCAAAAAAGTTCTCATAGAATCGACGAAATTTCCTCAATGGCTTCAAAAAACGAAAAGAGAACCCTTTTAATTGATTTACTGATGAAGTTTGATTTTAAAATTCAAGAAATAATATCACCAAAATGGGAATGCTTCGATAACAATGTTTTGGAAACGTTATTAAATAGCTGTAGAACAGAAACTGCACCAAAATTGATTGATTTAAAAAAGCTACATCGCGTTTTAGTAGATGAAGTGGCTGCTATTCAAGGAAGTACAGCAGTAGGGCAGAAGCATGCAATTTTTCAAGAAATTCAAAAAATTCTTGTTCATGCACTGAACTTGAACAATTTGAGAACAACTGCTGCAGGTATGATAGAGTTTGTAGATGGTTGGAGGCAAGTACTTGAAGTTATCTGCATTTATTTACCAAGTGACATTTTATCTATTTCACAACAACAAGTTCTGTGCATAACATTTTTGGAAAAAATGTTGAATAAAGTAGTTAACGAAGAGTTGTTGGTTGAAGTGGCTATTCATCTTTCTGGGGCCATTTTACTGCTATTAGAACATTTACGAAGATGCAATGTTAGAGAAAAAAGATATAAGGAATTAAATAAAAAGAACGAAGATCTTATTTTTCAGCATGATGTTTTAAAAAGTAACATTGTATCATTGCAAAATATATTGGAACGCCTATTAGAATGGATCACAAATTCAGACGTTACATCACAAAAATTGAGAATTAATTTATATGGTTGTCTGGTAACATTTTTGCATTTGATTAATATTAAAGAAGAACAATCTGACGTGAAGGTGGAGAATAGCACTTTTGTTAGTCGTTTGGACAGTTCCAAAGTATCAATAAAGGATCAAGAAATTCGTACAACGATACCAATTAATCTTTTTTCTATTTTTGGCGAAAAGCTTATCGACCTTATATGTCAAGATTGCACAGGTGGACACGACGTTTGCAAAATGCTTTCCATGGCCAGTTTCAGTATTCTTATAAATTTAACGGGTAACATAAATTGGATTATGTATATGTCAGCTCGAGGTTATATAAAACACATAATAGAAAGTATATTAAATTCTGATGATGATTTGCGAGCTGTGTTAGAACCTGTTCCCCAAAATCTGCGACCGCTGTACCTTTATGAATCTAAAATGTCTTTGTTAAATCGAATAGCTACTACACATATGGGATCTGAACTGTTACTAGAACAACGTTTGATGTCTTGTTTGTGTAATATGAAAGTGTTTGATTATCATCCAGAACTTGTACTTCAAGCTGATGTACCTAAAGATACTATAGAAGATTTCATATTACCAGTGGAAATTCGATATTTCCAATTGCTGTTTCCAGCTTTGAATATTTGTAATGCTATCCTCACAAGTCTGGGAACTATTAATAAATCAGCAGCTTCCCAAATAATATCATTCCTATTAAGCCATGTTGAAATAGTTGAATTGGTATTACGAGGTGGTACTCCAGTCCTTACTTTGGAATTTTTAAAAGAATTGGCGTACCTTACTTCTGTAATTGCGAGAACTGCAACAAACGAACTACTTTTAATATTAGAAGAAGATAAAACTGTTCAGGATAGTCGAGTACATTTACATAAAATCAAAAAATTAATGTTAGGTCTTATACCGAAATTCATGATGTCTGAAAGGACAGTTAAAGAACTCTCCACATCCTCGGAAAGTGACCATACTCACAAAATATCAGAAAGGCTTTTATATGCCCAACAAGTAACATCTAATTTGCTACTATATTCGCGAAACATTATTGGAAGTCATGGTATTGAACATTCTAGCGTTGACGTTGTGTTTGCACCTTCCATAACAACGAGTTTAAGTGTGTTTGGCGCTAAACAAGATTTTGCTAATTACACAGATCAAAGCCCGAATTTGGGAGTTGTAATTCAAATTTTATTGAATTCAGTAAACTATTACCATCAAGAAAAGGTGACCGTAGATAATCTTTCTAGAAGATTGCGGGAAATACCTGAAATGAACAGTGTTGATTTAAAAGAATTTCATGATCAAAGTGAAACATTCAATATTAATATTATTAGAGAAACTGCTTATGATGCTATATCAAAGAAATTACAAAAGAAGAAAAAGGAAATAGAATGCTGTTTGTTCACTATTGAGAATTCTTTGTACCTAATTTGGACTCACCTGGAATTTTACATGTTGAAAGCTATTCCCAAATCGAAATTTGTTAGTCTCGTGGATACAGAAAAGAATTTTGCGATGGATAGTAAGTATATATATCTGTTTGTTTAGTTAATGAATTAGTACCGCACATACATATTAAGTATTATTTAATAAAATACACGTTTAAAAGTAACTCTCATTTTCCCTAATTTTCACTTCAATTTCACTCATATTCGCACATTTCCTCACATGCTTCGCTTTTTATTGTCTCTACCGTCAACCCCTACATGCTATTTTCTAACCATCTTTACATTCCATCATAAATTCGCATAGTTCAGCTTTTTAATTTTGCATTATTGTTCCACGACAGAACAAGTGAGTTAATGTTTTCTCAGTACTTCTACATAATCTATATTCTTTCTTATATCCTCTCCCTATATTATCATATCTAATTTTAGCCCATATTTCCTTATTCTATTTTAATTTTTAATTATCAAACATTGCTGTGAAATCAACTTCATTTCTTTCTGCTGCATATTAATTCAAATTAATGAGGAAACATTTGATGCTACTATCACACCCTCATCAGAAATCGAACCCGGGCACTTGGCGTAACGTTTTGTCGTGGAACAGCAGCAACAAATTTTTCCTCGCGGTTTTCCCTACGGTTCTCCAAAGCTTACTTAGACAATTTTCATTTATATAAATATTCAAATTTTAGCAACGCTTTCGTCTGCTGCGGATGCTACTTGGAAGTGTAGCCTGGAAGACATAAGTTCTTTGAAACACAATTTGTATTCAGTGCTAAACGATAGCTTCTGCAGGCAGCTTTTAGATACAGCTCAGGTAAGACTTCTTTATGAATCAATATTTGAATGCAATTATTAATTAGAATTATTTGAGCTTATCGTTGGTGATTTTTAGGAGAGTTCTGAATTGGACAAAAGTTTTCTGGAAGTGCTACTCAGAAAGATAAAAAGATTAATTCAATTCGTACCGGTAAAATAACTTTTTTTTAAATTTTTAAAACCAAACCTTTATTGTTAATTAAACAGTGTACATATACATTTTTGTACATTATTAATCAGTTAAATAAACTGTTTAAATTTGCTTTGTGTCTTCTACGACTGCCTCATCCCACGGTCCGTGGATATTGTCTTTGTGTCGCTGGTATTTTACAAAAAGATAAGGACAGAGACCATTTAATAGCACCAAACTGCAAAGAAATAGCGCAAACATTGTCTTTGAAACGCACCATAACACCACTATATCAAATGCCACTAGTGAAGGTGTTATAAAATATAAATTATCCACTTTTGCTTTCAAAAATGGAAATAGAATGAAACATTGAGTGGAAAAAGTCATTAGTACAAAAGCCTCAAAGGCAGATGCGAGCCGCGACGATAAACAAATCGAAGCAAAAATCGCTGCGCTTATCGATAAACCGTTTGATACGATCGATCCATCAATACCATAATTGAAAAAAATTAAATGGATCAACATCATAAAAAAAGTCATCGTGTAAATTGTATCGGTACTAATAGTGTCTGTAAGAGTGTGCAAAACTGGAGAAAATAAATGCCCAAACACTATATACATAAGTAATGTTCTCACATCGTGTCCTATAGTCTTCTTATTAATGCTTATACTTTTAAACGAATAAATTATGTACCCAATAAAAGTAACACTACTTGAATATGTAAATACTGTGCTAGGATCTATCCAATTGTTATATAAAAAAGTGTAGTGAAGAACAAACAGGACAACAGTACACAGTTCGTTAATAACTAATGACGCTCCCTTTATCGCTTCTTTGAACGAGACAGGTTTAAAGTAAATGTTCTTACGAAGCTCTCTGAGAAAGGTCTCGTCGGTATAGTTGTCAGGATATCCCTCATTTGCGTATAATTTTCTGCACCATGGTTGTTGATCGGGTTCTATTGGTACACTCATTTTCAGTTCATTATGAAATTTAGGAAAAGTTGTATTGTGGTTTTTGCAACATATTTGCCTCAGAAATATAAAACTTATTTAAAATGTATTAAACTGAATATTCCACGAAAATGTAAGTAATAATATTCTTGCTGTTATAAATATAAAAAAAACTGAGTTAATCTCTAAAACAGCAACTTTTCTACAATTTTAATAACACACCTCTTTAAAACAAAGTAAGGTTAAACGCTATCATAGACAAAACCATAAACGTCATGTTTTAAACGCATAGAATGAATTTGTGGTTCTATGATTTATGATAGGTCTATGGATAAGATAGGCGCCTCGTCTATGATAGGGCTATGGCTAGATCTATGGTAATGAGTAAGAGTGTGTAGATAGCCTGCAATCGTGATCTTTTTAAATATAAATACCTCCATTTATTTCAGAAATGACTGCCCTTATGTGTTAAAATTTGTCATGTTCTTGTCGAATCGTAACTTAATTTAAAATAATATAAAATATAATCTAAAGTAATGGATTCTGCTTTAAGAAGTGAAATATTAAAATTACGATGCTCTGACTGTAATAATTTACTTTCAGTAGGACCTATACGGATGACTGCAAACGGGGAAAATATTTGCGGAAGATGTCTGAATGCATCAGATGCTTCTAGGAACTATGCTTATGAAGCGCTCGCTTCAAAACTGACTTTTCCTTGTCGATTTGAAGGTTGTAATGAAAATATACCTTGGGCTAAGGTCAGACGGCACGAAGATATATGCTCGCATCGCCCTTATGAATGCTTATTGAAAAACTGTAAATGGTCTGGAAAAATTGTACACTTATGTTCACATTTTAAAGCAGAACACAAAGAGTTATATTTAAAAGAAAGTCAAAGCTTTCCCTTGGATTGTAGCAAAGACTTAAATTTTTTTATGGTTAATTGCTCATTAGGAAAAACCTTCATATTTGAAATAGCCTGTGAATCGGGGAAACTACAATTTGTTCCTTATTATTTTGAGCATATTGATACTCCCAAAGATTTAGTCGTTAAAATAAAATTGGGAAACAAAGTCGATCATCTTTCACTGGTTAAAGAAGTGACCGCGATATCGATGTATGATCGTCAAAATTTGAATTCGGGGATTCCTGTACTTTTTGATAAAACATTGGGCATATTTTCATCTCTTAAACTGGATTGTTCATTCCAAATTGAAATGAATTGTCTTATTACAGACAATATATTACCGATGAAATTTTCTAAAAGATGCAGTTGTCCTTGTGATAAATTGATTGAATTTGATTACTATTTAGAGACAATTAGTAATGATGATGCGAAAATCCCCTGTATCCATAATGGATGCGATTCTGTTTTAAAAAAAGGAAACATTTATTCACATACAGCAGAATGTGAATATAGATTGTTCAAATGTCAAAGAGAAGGGTGTAGCAAAGTCAAATGTATTTTCAAAGATCTAGTAGATCATTATATAAAAAAACACGACGCAACTCGTCATGACTCTATATTTACATGGGGTTGGAACATAAAACATTTAAAAACGAAAAAGGTGTGTATTTGTTTCGATGCTGTTATTGCATATGATACAATATTTGATGATCATTCTAAAATAACATATTCAGAACAAGAGCAAACTTACACAATAACGTTTGATATCAAAGAAATACGTCTAAAAAAAACCAACCAGTTTAAATTTAAAGTTGTTCTTCTACATCAGTCAGACAGTTCTAATAATTTAATNAAATTGAAATTAATAAGCCTACTGACGTGGTAAAGGAGTTTTTGTTATTTTTATGTGTTGTATTATTAAACACAGTAATTATACCTTAATACCTCCTTAAGTAAGAAGATGCGCCACTTATTCTATTATTGATTATTTGTGAATTGTTTAATATTTTAATTGTTCAAACTGTTAAAAATCTCTGATGAATAACCTGGCGTAACATGTTAAATTGATCATTTTTAGGTACGTGCTTCGATTTACGTTAAAGTACTGATATATTTTTTTAATTTTTTTATGTAACATTTTCTGGTGTAGGTACGTGTGCGATTGCATTTGTGCTATGATGTATGCACATATATGGTGTTATATTAAATTTTTTATTTCTTTAATAACTTTATTTATGCCTCTATAAGTTTTCTTTCTAATTTTTTCTAACAAATTCGTATTATTCCAGTATATATTCCAATGTTTATTCTTTTTGTTACCATGTAAGAGAATAAAAAAAATAAAACAATTGGTTTTTAGTTTATGTACTGTTAAATGCATATTTTATTCAATTTAAAACAAAATGTAACTCTCTGACCGCCTATTGGGTCATTAGACATTATTTTATACTTTAAATTTAATTTTTTGGTGGCAAAGTACAAAGTGTACAACTATTTTTTAATTAATGTGTTTTATTTTCAATAGAAAGTTATAATTTACGAAATCACAGTTATAAAATACATCTATGTATAGAGGCCTTTAATTTCTCATATTCTTGAAAATTCATTACACAAGTAGTTTACATTTTTGCCTAACTGAACATACAATTGTGGCATGGTAAAATAAAAGTTATCAATCCAGATATCATTTAGTCTCTCCAGTTATGTGAACATTCATAATTACAACATTTATAAAAGGTTGTCATTGGCTCATCTGCAGAACGTGTTTGCAGCTGCATAAAGTAGGCTCTACCGTGACTGCACTTTGGGCACACTACCTCAGTTGAATCTACATTTTTCCATGCTTCTTCTCCTCCAAGAACATCATCTATTTCTTTGAGTTTATAATAGCTTCTGTTTGTTATAGTCTTCGTGATATTATAGAATGTGGGGCAAATTTTACATACCATTTTAAGTTTACACGCATTAAATTCCTCTACAAACATCATATTCCCGCACAATGAACAAAAAGGAATCATTTTTGTTGCCATTTCGCTTTCTTACACAGGTTTTGCGGCTATTTTTTGATATAAAAATTAACCTCCATGAATTACATATCATTTGTGATTATTTTTATAAACACTGGATACAAAAGAAGAAGACTCTTCCAATTCTATTATCTCTATATTCTGGACATATCCATTATCTATGAGATTGTCAGATCTCAGATGACAGCTGTCATCCCAGATTGACATCAGGTTGTCACAAATTGGTTATCTATTTATTATTTATTAAAATAATTGAGTTACCAAATGGAGTTTTTTGTTGAAATTTATTTCGTCATGGATATCGCTTCAAAATTGTAAAATATTTTTGTGATTTACGTTTCATTAAGTTGTTTATATTTTTAATTAGCCTGAAACGTTGTGGTAACACGTCATTTGTAAATAGTTTTTACGAGTTTTAAAGCATAACTGCTATAAGAATAATATTTTCCGTATGTTAAAATGCTGTGATTTTCGTTACGTCAGGCAATTGAACATCGCTGATTTTGATAAGCTTATCACCTCCTTCGCAACAAGTACTTTTTAAAAAATTGTCTGCAATATGCTCTGTATTTACCATCTGTCAGGAACATCTTGACAGTAATTATACCTTACTGCTGTTTAGAATTATGGGTGTCGTAATCTTATTTCCAATTATTTTACTTTTGGTTGTGTTATTGTCATTGTCAACATGCTGTTCGGAAGAGGTAAAACATCACATGACTGCAACAGAGCGAATGGAACTCAGGTAATACAATTTTTATTTTATTATAGTGACTATTTTCATTTATTGATATGCTTTAGGGAGGAAGCCAGAGATATGTTTTACCATGCTTATCATGCATATATGGAAAATGCTTACCCTGCAGATGAACTTATGCCATTGAGTTGCAAAGGGAGGTACCGTGGACTAACACCTTATAGAGGAGATATTGATGATTGTTTGGGAAAGTAAGTATAACAAAGTGTAAATGTTCAGTATCTATTTAAACATCTTTTACAGTTTTTCTTTAACATTGGTGGATACATTGGATACTTTAGTGATATTGGGTGACTTGGAAGAATTTGAACATGGAGTAAAATTGATTGTAAAAGATGTTTCGTTTGCCAATGATGTTGTTGTATCAGTCTTTGAAACGAATATACGTGTCTTGGGGTAAGTTCAAAATTGGACAATTAAATTAAGTGTGTTCATTTTGATATTGTAGGGGCTTATTATCTGCTCATATTTTGGCTGAATATTTACAACAGCGAACTGATTTTCTTCAATGGTATCGAGGAGAACTGCTTCAAATGGCAAAGGATGTAGGTGATAGGCTGCTGCCAGCATTTAACACCACTACTGGTATTCCTTACTCTAGGGTAAGTTAATAATGATACATTTATTAATCCAGTTCACGTTCCACGTAATTATACTTCATTACAAATGAACAATAGAAATTTAATTTCAAGAATGACATCTATATCTTTTATCTCACTTAATAATTTATCATTTCTTATCAAAGATAAAATTAAATGTAAATAAATTAAAAAAGGTAGTATTAATTATTTATGCATCAGGTTTAATAAAACAATACAATATGAAGTGTATACTGTAACAGTTACTTTTTGAAATAACTTTGTAGTATTGTTTTTGTTTAGAACAGAATAACTTTAATTTTGATTCAACAAGTTGAATGATCTTATTACGCGAATAAAATTTCCCTTGTTACTTATGGGTCATTAACAGTGATCTGACCTTAATACACGTATACTGTTTATTAATCATTTTCCTTCTATATATTTTGTATACATTTTATATTATTAAATTTAATGAGTCATTTAATAAAAAAATGTATTTATTTT